TTATGTAACTTTTTAATGGAGTAAAAAATAGTTATTATCATCATTAATCTTTTGTTTTGTTTATCGGGTTCAATAGGATATTAAACAATATGGTATTTTTATATTTTACAAAATCGGGAATAATCAATTGCCAAGCAATGCCACACAATACACAAAAATGCTACTTGTTTGTTTTAATAAAGTTGAAATGTAACAATAAATGCATTTTTGGATAAACAAATAAACATTTACATTTAAATTAATATGATTTGGACTTTAATAAAATTTGATTAATCATAGTCTAATACTTTTATTGTTTTATTATTGTTAAATAATATATAAACCCATAATTTTTGAAAATCAATGGTAATTCAATTCAAAAAAAACAAAAAAATAAAGAGTAATTGAATTGCTTATGGTGGGTTTGGTTTGAATTGTTTTCAACTTTTTAATAATTACAATAAATATAATATGTTAATCAATAATAATAATTTCGATTTGTGTTAAATAAAATGAAAATATAACAATCTACACAATAAAAGTTATAGTAATCAATTCCATTTATTTTAATATTTTGAACTATCTTTGTTTCAACTTTATTCACAATTTGAATTTGTTGTGTTTTCCCCAAATTTTACGTCGAATGATCTTATTATAATAAATGTTTAAATTCCATTTTTTCAACACTGCTCTGATTCCTTTCATCACCTTTTTTTATTTTTTATTTTTAGTTTTTATACAAATAACATTCCCCCCCTCAATATTATGTTATCAGATGACATTTTGTTTTGCTCACTGTTTTAGTAAACCAAAAAAATTGTGTTATAAAAAAGAAAAAAATTAAAATTATTATTTTTTGTCTCTTGTTTTTATTTGTCTTTTGTTTTCTCGACGATTTTGAGAAAATAAACCCTAAACCTATGTGTTCGGTCCCCCTAAAACTGGAGACCATGCTGGAATAATTAATTGACTTAAGTAGAAAATAAAAATTCAAATCTATGAACACGTGTCATTATTTGTTGATGTCGTGAAACGTGGTGGCTGGTTTTTTGAAAAAGGAGGACCTTGAATAAACTCAAAATTTCCCGATTTTTAGACCACTTGATTTTTGTTCAATGTTATTTGAAGTGTTAAAATTAATAAACTAACAAATAACATTTTATATTATTTTGGATGTAAAAATGTTTAAACTTTATTCGATAGTTATAGTTTATACTTAATAATATAAACAGCCAGTCTTTCAACGTGATATAATATCTTATGCCATTTCAAATATGGAATATTTCGGTAAACCACTAAAAATTAATTACAGTTTTTAATTTTTTTATGTTTCACATAATCAAGTTTTTTATACAAAAAAATTATTTTGTTCATTAAATTACGTTAACAGACTGACTCGATTATAAAACAAGTTTTTTTGTTACTCCAAATTTATGACTTTTTTATTGTTCATAATAATTTGATTCTAATATTATATCGAATAAAAAATGTTTAAAAACAAAAAACATGTTCTGTTTCTGTTGGCTTAAACAGTAGAATTTGTGGCTAAAATCAAACTTAAAGTTAAGTTCGATCTTTGTTCCAAATCATTTTTTAGCTAACTTCTTACCATAATAAATACTATCTTTTAATAATAAAATTATTTTTTTAAACAATAGAACTGATCCATTTTTGTATTTTAATTGTTTGACAATTAATCTTACGTGTTCCATTTATAATCACCGAAAAGTTTTAATTATGTGTATGCTCGATTATTTTTCAGACAAAAATGGATTTACAATAATTCGATAAACTATACAATTTATGTGTTTTGCAAAAAATGCAAAACTGAGTTATTAATAATATAAGTAACAAAAATAATTAAAATAATTTACAAATACAATGATTAAGTGTACATTTGAGACTGAAATTCAACTCGAAAGAAAAATCTGTTATCGATGATATAACTTTTGATTTTTTTGCCATTGAAAAGTCACTTCATTTGAAACGTTAAATTAAAAAAATATAAATAGAAAAAGCACCTATTTAAACACCTTACCACTCAAAAGTATCATGTTACTTTCTTTGATCATAACAGCCACACTGGCCTTTACCAGTGGTGACGATTACTTAGTGAAATATATTCCCGAGTCGAATGTCTTCAATGCCACAAATGAGCAGTATTATAGACCAAGTTGCACAACATGCTGCAGAGTTTTGTTTGCATCGGATTACAACTATGTTACCCAAAGTAGATTTACAACCTCTGATACAGACACTCGTTATGTAATGGATATGGAGTTCGATAAAGCTAACAAGGTCAGATCAGCTACTGGAGACTGGGAACAAAATATCTTATTAAGACCAATCAATATGGGTAATGAACTTCAATTTTGGGAGTTTGCACCATATAAAATGTTCATCTCATTCCCCATTCCTAGAAGAGTTCATGACATTAGAAGTGGAGCAATTGTTGGTAACACTTTGATCATCTGGGCTAAGAAACCCCCTTTGGATATTGGAACTAACAACCAAAGATTTATGTATGTCCATCCATATGACGGATACCCTACTACTGCGACTTACTCCGTCTATAAGCAACACTTCTATATCCCTTACCAAAATAATTATAACTATGCTTTGTGCTATCAAGCAAGAAAAGCTTCTGAAGCTAGATCCACCTGGTCCGGTAACTCAAATTTGAACGTCTTGACTTCAAGTTATCAAATCACTGCACAAAGATGTGATGCAAACCTTGCAACTCAATTCTTCGTTCCTATTTTCGCGTAATTTAAACTATTGCTTTACTATTGGTTTACTATTGTGTTCATACAAAAATGGAAATTATTATTTATTATTTATAGAACTAAAAAGTGTTCTCTTTACTTCTATCGCACAGGTGTATCATAAAAGTTGTTATTCAAATAAAATTGGTTCTAACTATACTTATTTAATAATTTACTATTCAACTACTAATTCTCTGTTAATACCACAATATATAATACTTATATTAATATTCATAGTTTTTCTAAAAATAGCACATTGTTCCAAATTTAATAATAAAAATACTATTATAATAAACTATTTTCGTTTGTGAAAAACTCAAATTGTGAATTTTAAAGTAATGGAGGCAGATACAGGAAATACCCCAACACTCATACCAGAGTACACAAGACTATCCACAAAACTCAGCAAACTTGACTTCCAAATCTGCATCGAGCCGAGTTTTTTGAACTCCAAAACATTGAAAGTGACGTATGATGTTATACATGATTATACAAAGGGAAGTTGGATTGCATTGTATGATGAATTTGAACTCCACAACGAAAGGTATTTAAAATTTGTTACACTTCCTGGTCCGGACGGGTCTTTTTACTTTGAGAATTTAGTTGATGGACTTTACGAGCTCCGGTACTTTCCCAAAAATGATGGGAAGCTGAAGAACACGTATGCGGTCAAAGTGAAGTACACAAACGCAATTCCAATCACCTTTTCACTCGACAAAAACATTCTCGAGCTTCAAGTTTTATGTCCTGGTATCGACGATGTCTTCATCAAAGTCTACAAAAAGATATTTAAGAAGAACGTGGAAGACTGGGAGGAGACCACAATCACTTTTCCAATGATGGACAAGACTTCAAAGCGAATTGCGATGAATATAGAAGGCAAATTTGTTATCCGGTCGTATCGGAAATCGGCTTATCTCTATTATAGAAGAGGCCTTAAATTTTCTTGGGACTACATTTCACAAGGAGAGTCCGCAGAGTTTTGTATCAATTCACACTTTAATTAGTTTCATATAGTTTACAAATGGTAGTAATTGTCTAGTAAAAGAAACTATAAAACCAGTGACATAGTTTTCTTGAACTAAAACTATTATTTATAATTGAGAGAACATGACACTAAATACACCAATTACACATTTAGTCGCTGAAGTCAATGAAGCTATTATATCAATTTATAAGTCGACAGATTCAAAGGAGTTGATACCAAAACAGCACGAATCAGTCATCGTGAAGAACGTCTTAGAACTCACAGAAAAAGTCGAGGACGTAGTGAGTAAAGAATATGACGGGTATGACGTGTTAACAACTAAAATCCGTGAGAAGGTCGAATCGGTGAACGGGAACATCATTTCTTTATCACTCTTGAAATCAAAGGAAAAAGTCTTGGACGCGCTATTTAACATATCTGGAGACTGCAGTTCTCTAGTTGTCATTTTTGCACTTTCGCCATTTTTGCGGATGGTCCATTTCAAGGAAGTCACTTGTGACTTGGTGCGTTCTAAGACGGATATAAAGGACTTTCCACAAATCTTGTTTACCGTCCAACAATATCACCAATTACTCAAGTCTCTCGCAAATGATTCAAACATCGATAAAGGAAGTAAAGACAAAATCGAAGCGATTTGTGTTGGTCTCGAGAACAAAATGGAAATGTGGGCATCGGCGTATAGAAATAAACAAAAGCAAGACGGACTTTATAAAGAAGTGTTGGAGGAGTTTGAGAAGTGTGGAGATGTTGTACTCGAAGCACAAAAAGTCGTTGAAAAAGTTGTTGAAAATTACACAAAGGAAAAGATGGGAATTAATCAACAACTCGATAAGATCAGAGACAAGACGAGTGACACGCAGAAGAAGGCGAAAAACGAGAAAACAGAACGAATCGAACAACTTTTAACAAAAGAAGAGAGAGAGGAAGCGAAGAGCGAGAGCGAAAAGGCGACTGACGAAGAGTCGATTGAAAAGTGTCAACAAATAGTGGCGGAGTCCCAAAGAAGCAAATGATACAGAAATGAAGAAGACGAA